AACTCTGATTGTGCTACTGGACTTCAGACTTGGTGACAAAATGAGGCTGTGCTCCCCCCACCAAAAAACCCTCAAGACACAAGGACATTGCAACTGAATTAGAGAAGTGCTAGAGATCCCCAAATCAAGGGTTTTTTTATTTTTATTTTTTCAGATGCATCAAAGACTACTTGGGCACCCTGAAAAGAAAGGTGAGTTTGGGGGCACACAGGAGTATTTCCTGGGATTCTGTCTGCAAACCTGTTGTATGTCTTACTCCTGGGTGCATTCTGTTATCCACCAGTCCATACTCTATGCTGTATTACTTCTACCCAGAACAAGCTTCCCTCCTCCAGTTATCTGGAAACCTTCTCTCCTCGACGTGACCTTCAAAACTCCAATGCCCCCTTATCTGTGAAGCCTTCCCTGATCCCATCCCAGGCAGCGTTTCATCTCCTGAGTACCCAAATCATCAGGCATGTATTTTTATTGCACTTCTCATCAGACTGTGCTGGACTGAGTTGAACGATGCTCATGCTCCCTCTCGAACTCTAAATTCTATAACTGCAGGGCTAAGTTATCTGACTCTTGTACATTTTTGATTGACTCTGGAAAATGCCACCAATGAGGCACTCCATTTCATTTTTGGTTAGATTTTACACATACAGTGTGTGTATGTGTGTGGCACCAGATAAGTGTCTGTGAAAGCAGAAGACGAATTCGAGGAACAAGTGGTGGGGCGATGACACTGTTCTAGACCCAAATGTCAACCTGTGTGACTTCTTCCCAAGACTGCTCTGCAGTTTCAAGGCAGGTCCTGTTGGTTGGTGTTGGTTCAGAAGGCTTCCCCACCATCCCAAAGGGCCACAATGCCTGAAACCAGGGGAAATGCCAGTCCTAGAACAGTTCTAGGGCAGACCACTGGCCCTGAGGGTTGGTGAGTGTGGCTTCTCTACAGAGCAGGCTGGGACATGATCACCCATTAGCCAGATATCATAGCCTAGGGAGTCTGGTGTGTGTGTGTGTGTGTGTGTGTGTGTCTGTGTGTGTGTGCGTGTGCATGTGTGTGTGTGTGTATGTGTAGCAAATCCCAAATATCTATTACAGTGTTTGGAGATGTGTGAAATGTTGACACAGAAACAAGGACCTTGGAATTAGATCTTTTTGTTAGAATCTTGACTCAGTTACCTTCTTGCTGGTTGATCGTGGACAAGGCACTGCACATCTCAAATCCCTGTCTTCTCACCTCCAAAATTCATAGAGGTATTAATACTTATGGTCAGATTTTTTTTATTGAGACAGGGTCTGGCTCTGTGCTCTGTTGCTCAGGCTGGAGTGCAGTGGTGTGATCACAGGACTCAAGTGATCCTCTACCTCCTGGACTCAAGTGATCCTCCCACCTCAGCCTCCCAAGTAGCTGGGACTGTAGGCACATGCCATCATGCCTGGCTAATTTTTCTATTTCCTGTAGTCAGAGTCTTGCCAAGTTGCCCAGGATGGTCTCAAACTCCTGGGCTGGCCCTGGCCTTCCAAAATGCTGGGATTACAGATGTGAGCCACCACACCCAGCCTAATAGTGTGGTTAATTGTTACTGTCACCAAGGGCTTGCCAAACACTTCTATTAAGAGTTTCCCCAGCCACCTCCATTCCTGGCACCCATGCTTCTCTTCCCAAAAACTTATATTTGAGTTTCATTCTCTTATTTTTCCATTTCTGCGGCTCAGGGGTTGAAGAAAGATAGATGCTTCAACCACCTTCAATTATCTGCTGATAAGTGAAGGCTCCTCTCCATTCCTGAGAATGGGGTATCCTTGGGTATGAGGTAATAGGCTTGGAGGAGCTGCCCAGCTCTCAGGAAGCTCTCCTTGCTTCCGAGATGCAGCTGGAGGACTGGATGTTGTGGGAAGTAGAAAAGTTTCTCTTCAAAGTTTCCTTTTGTTGAAGAAAAATTAGTAAGTGTTAGAAATAATCGTTTGTTTTAAACACTTTCTTCAAAAGCCCTATTTTACGTAGCTGTTAGACATGCTTACAGGCACGTAGTACATTCTGTGTCCTTGTACTTTAACCAAGATATCTGCTGGATGTGCTCACAGGCATGTCCCAGCTCACAGCCTATGCCCCTTCATTATTTGGACTTCCTTTTTTCCCCCCTCTCCATTGCTTTTATTTGTTTAGGAAAGTTTCAAGTTGTTAGCCAATCGGGTTTTAATTTAAATTGTGAGGCTGGCTCCAGCCAACAGAGATCAGACACAGCAGTAAGGGCAACCCCAAATGTGTAAGAAATAAATACGTCAGCTTTCCTTTTTTCATTGTACTCTGATGGCAAGATTGCTAATGGGAGTAGCTTTTCTGCAGAAAGTAAAAAGAATTGCTTTGCCGAGAGATCCTTTGTCCCAGTACTAATTTTCCTTTGCTGCACCAAAAAGAAAAATGTTATACATAATAATGTGAAAACTGTTGCCTGGCTTCTGCCTGCAAGCACCTTACTCCTGGGTGCATTTTCTTATCCACCAGTTCATAGAGCCCAAATAGTCTATTATTTCTGTCTGGAACATCTTTCCTCCTCTAGCTGTCTTGGGAAATTGCTACCTGACCTTCAAAACTCATCTCCAATGCCTCCTTCTCTGTGAAGCTTCCCAGATCCCATCCCAGCCAGAGTTTCATCTCTTGGGTACCAAAATCATCATGAATGCATTTTTATTGAATTGCTCATCAGACTATGCTGAAATGTGTTGAACAATGCTCATGTTTCCTGTTAAACTCTAAATTCTGTAACCACAGGGCTAAATTACCTAACTCCCATGCATTTTCTTTTTTTGAGTCAGAGTCTCGCTTTGTCACCCAGGCATGCAGTGGCGTGATCTCGGCTCACTGCAATTGCAATTTCTGCCTCCTGGGTTCAAGATAATTTTTCTATTTTTTTGTAGAAACAGGGTTTCACCTTGTTGGCTGGGCTGGTCTTAAACTCCCAACCTCAAATGATCTGCCTGCCTCGGCCTGCTTGGGATTATAGGTGTGAGCCACTGCACCCAGCCAAACTCCCATACATCTTTGATTGACTCTGGAAAATACTACCAATGAGACACTCAATTCCATCTTTGGTTCAATTTCACCATTAGAAAGTTCTTTGTTAGGTTGAACCACACCACTGCCTTCCTTAACACCCACCTTCCAGTAGTATGAAGCAGGTCATTCTATGCTTCCCCTTTCATGAAGGTCTTCAGATAGCAAGGTCAGTGCATTAGTCTATTCTTGCATTGCTTTAAATAAATGTCCGAGACTGGGTAATTTATAAAGAAAAGAGGTTTCATCAGTGAATGGTTCTGCAGGCTGTACAGGAAGGGTAGTAGCGTCTGCGTCTAGGGAGGCCTCAGGGAACTTACAATCATGCTGGAGAGTGAGGGAGAAGCAGATATCTTACATGCAGGAATAGAGGCAGGCGGAGGTGCTACACATTTTTTTTTCTTTGAGATGGAGTTTTGCTCTAGTTGCCCAGGCTGGAGTGCAGTGGCACAATCTCTGCTCACTGCAACCTCCATTTCCTGGGTTCAAGCGATTCTCTTGTCTCAGCCTCCTGAGTAACTGGGATTACAGACACCTGTCACTATGCCTGGCTAATTTTGTATTTTTAGTAGAGACTAGGTTTTACCATGTTGGCCAGGCTGGTCTTGAACTCCTGACCTCAGGTGATCTTCCTGCCTTGGCTTCCCAAAGTGCTGGGTTACAGGTGTGAGCCACCACACCCAGCTGCTACACACTTTTAGTGACCAGTCTCACAGGAATTCACTATCACGACCAAGGGGGATGGTGCTAAACCATTCATGAGAAACCACCACCACGATCCAATCACCTCCCAGCAGGCCCCACCTCCAACACTGGGGATTACAATTCACCCTGAGATTTGGGTGAGGACACAGGTCCAAACCATACCAGGCAGCTCTCACCTGTCTCAAGACTATGCCTTGTAGTGTCCCTAGCTATTACCTGCAGGGCATCCTGACCACTTCACCCCTGCATTTCTCCCTATCCCAAAGGTCTTGTGAATTTATCTTCTTGTCATTGTTCTCCTGATGGAGATGGTAGAGTCCAGGGAAGCAGGGATCTTGCCTGAATGATTCACCTCTGAATGCTTTATGCTCAGTCTAGGGAATGACACATTTTGTTGAATGCATGGATGAATGGTAGTCAAGAGCTTGAATGGGATAAGAAAATCAGGATGGTGTATAACTAAAGACAGCCTTGAAGGCCATCAGAGTGAGGAATAACTCCACAGGAATAACTTTTTCATGACAAAGAGCTCCAGGGACTGGGCAAGATGGCTCATGCATGTAATCCCAGCAAGTTGGGAGGCTGAGGCAGACAGATTACAAGGTCAGGAGTTCAAGACCAGCCCAACCAATGTGGTGAAACCCTGTATCAACTAAAAATACAAAAATTAGCCGGGTGTGGTGGCACATGCCTTTAGTCCCAGCTACTTGGGAGGCTGAGGTAGGAGAATCTCTTGAACCTGGGAGGCAGAGGTTGCAGTGAGCCAAGATTGCGCCACTGTACTCCAGCCTGGGTGACAGAACAAGACTCCATCTCAACCAAAACAAAACAAAACCAAACAAACAAAAAATGTAAAGTAAGATTTGTAGCAATGGGGTCTTGTCATGTCATCCAGGCTGGTCTTGAACTCCTGGGCCAAAGTGATCCTCCCACCTTTGCTTCTCAAGGTGCTGGCATTACAGGCATGAGCCACTATGCCCAGCTGATTCTGTTCCTTTTTATGGCTGCCTAGTATTCCATGGTGTCTATATACTACATTAAAAAGAATACAGTCCACCATTGATGGGCATCTTGGTTGATTCCATGTCTTTGTTATTGTGAACAGTGCATGATAAACATGCCCATTTGGTAGAAAGACTTATTTTCCTTGGCTCATCACATATTTCTCTTTGCTTCAGATTCTCATCCAGGCATTTAGACCCAAGCCCTTCTCTCTGTTTTCTCACTTAGCATGTTGCTTCAGCCTCATCATTCCCTATTTCACCTCACAGCCTTTTTGGTATCTGACCTCTGCTTTGGTTACAGGACCCCTGGGATGAGGGGTATTGAAGCATTTCACCATCTATGTGACTGTCTTTAACTTGAACTTTAAATTTGTGACTACAGGGAACAGAGAGCAGCTCTTTGCTGGGGCGTGGCCAAGTGTCTCATTCAGAGATGCCAGTTGCATCTCCCCCATTGCACGCCTTGGAGAGACACTAATTGATCAAGTTTTCTCCCTCCTGTGTACTGATTCTAGCTGCAGCCTCATCACTCTCCTCAAGACGCCATCCCAAAAGGCCACTACCAATAAATGGCAATTGGCATGTGAGATGGAAATTATTCGCCACCCCATGTAGGATTCTTGCCATAGGTCAGCTATTCTTCCTCAGCTAAAGTGCATTGGGTGAAACATGGGGGACGTGAATCAGTCGGTGGCTCCAGACTTCATTCTGGTGGGCCTCTTCAGTCACTCAGGATCACGCCAGCTCCTCTTCTCCCTGGTGGCTGCCATGTTTGTCACAGGCCTTCTGGGCAACACTGCTCTTTTCTTCTTGATCCATGTGGACTCCCGGCTCCACACACCCATGTACTTCCTGCTTAGCCAGCTCTCCCTGTTTGACGTTGGCATCCTCATGGTCACCATCCCCAAGATGGCATCAGACTTTATGCGGGGGGAAGATGGCATCTCTTACGGAGGTTGTGCAGCTCAAATATTCTTTCTGACATTGTTGGGTGTGGCCGAGGGCGTCCTATTGGCCCTCATGTCTTATGATCGTTATGTCGCTGTGTGCCAGCCCCTGCAGTATGCAGTACTTATGAGACACCAGGTGTGTCTGCTGATGGTGGGTGCCTCCTGGGTGGCAGGTGTGCTCAACGCCTCCATCGAGACCTCCATCACCATGCACTTCCCCTACTGTGCCTCCCGTACTGTGGAGCACTTCTTCTGTGAGGTGCCAGCTCTACTGAAGCTCTCCTGTGCAGATACCTCTGCCTATGAGTTGGCGCTGTCCACCTCGGGGGTGCTGATTCTAATGGGCCCTCTTTCCCTCATCGTGACCTCCTACAGTCACGTGTTGCAGGCTGTTCTAAGCCTGCGCTCAGAGGAGGCCAGACACAAGGCTGTTACCACCTGCTCCTCACACATTGTGGCAGTGGGGCTCTTTTACGGTGCAGCCATGTTCATGTACATGGTGCCCGGCACCTACCACAGTCCACAGCAGGATAACCTGGTTTCCCTCTTCTATAGCCTTGTCACCCCTACACTCAATCCCCTTATCTACAGCCTGAGGAACCGGGAGGTTTGGATAGCTTTGGTCAAAGTGCTTAGCAGGGCTGGACTCAGGCAAATGTGTTGGCTACATAAAAACTGCTGGTGAAGATTCCAGCAGTCCTCAATCCCACACACCTTCCCAAAGTAGGTGGGTGGGATTGAGGACTGTCAATTGTCAATATGTGCAACTGGCCAAATATCCAGCCATTGCACAAGGTGCAACTTTTTGAGACAATGTCTGCCTTTTAAATTGTGGTAGAATACACATAACATAAAATGAACCACTATTAAGTGTACAATTCAGCCACTAAGTACTTACGTCTAAGGCTAAGTGTCTGTCCAGTTCCTGCTCATGACTAGCTAGGTTCATGTTTTCCCTCATGGACTTGTGGAAAGCAATGGTGATCATCCCAATCACATTCAGCATATTTTTTTCTCTCTCTTTTCTTTTTGTAACAGAGTCTCACTTTGCTGTCCAGGCTGGAGTACGATGACATGGTCATAACTCACTGTAGGGTCAAGGGGTCCTCCTGCCTCAGCCTCCTGAGTATCTGGGACTATAGGCATGTGCCACCACTCCTAGCTATTTTATTCATTTTTTGCAGAGATGGGGTCTCACTATGTTGCCCAGGCTTGTCTCGAGTTCCTGGGCTCAAGGAATCCTCCCATCTCAGCCTCCCAAAGTGCTGGGATTATAGATAGTATATTATTTCTATAACAATGCACCGCCCCACCTTTTTAAAAAATGGATCTCTATCACCTAGACTGGACTGCAGTGGTACAATTTCAGCTCACTGCAACCTCCACCTCCCTGGTTCAAGCAATCTTCCCACCTTAACCTCTCAAGTAGCTGGGATTGCAGGTGTGTGGCACCATGCCTGACTAATATTTGTATTTTCAGTAGGGATGGGGTTTCACCATGTTGGTCATGCTGGTCTTAAACTCCTGACTTCAAGTGATCTGCCCGCCTTGGCCTCCCAAAGTTCTGGGACTACAGGTGTGAGACCCTGTGCCCATCCAGAAATGTAATATATTATAAAGCTAATATTTAGACATTATAAAGCTAACAAAACTCTGAAGAAGTGAGAAGAAAAGAAAAAATAAATCACTGGCAACTTAGATATTTTATCAAAAAAGGCATATTTACAGTGTCTATCAGGTAGTAAGTAAAATATACAAATTAATTCAAAATATATAAGGAGCTCCAACAACTCAGGAGAAAAAAAAATCTTTATTTTTTTTTGAGTTGGAGTCTCACTCTGTTGCCCAGGCTAGAGTGCAGTGGCTCAATCTCAGCTCATCGAAACCTCCACCTCTCAGGTTCAAGCAATTCTCCAACTTCAGCCTCTTGAGTAGCTGGAATTACAGGTTCCTGCCACCACGTCTGGCTAATTTGTGTATTTTTAGTAGAGATGGGGTTTCACCATGTTGGCCAGGCTGGTCTTGAACTCCTGACCTCATATGATTTGCCCACCTGGGCCCAAAATGCTGGGATTAGAGGCATGAGCCACCATGAATCTCCATCCTGAATCCCCACAGACTCACTCCACCTCCTCACCTTTTATTCATCCACTTCCTGTGAGAGCTGATCCCAATCTACCCTAACTTCCAGCTGTTCTTGTTCTCATCCCCATCTGCCTGAGTTTCCCTGGGTTAGGAAAAGGCAGGGAAGGAGGGTCTGTGCCCACGGGGAGCATTTTACTCTTTCAGGAGCACATGAAGGTGAGAATTAGAAACTTCTCCTTGGGTTTGAGGACTTGGAGAAATACAGTGAGATGCCAGATATCTGACACCTCTGTCTATACAGGTAATGTAGGAATGGGGTCTTAGGATGCAAATAAAAGCAACAAAAAATAAAGAAATTCGTTGGGCATGGTTGGGCTCACACCTATAATCCCAGCACTTTGGGAGTCCAAGGGAGGAGGATTGCTTGAGTGTAGGAGTTTGAGAGCAGCCTGGGAAACATAGTGAAACCTAGTCTCTATTGTAAACAGAAAATTTAGCGGGGCATGATGGTGCACACCTGTGGTCCCAGCTACTCAGGAGGCCCTGGCGGGAGGATCACCTGAGACTTGGAGGTGGAGCCTGTAGTCAGCCAAAATCATGCCACTGAACTCCAGTCTAGACAATCAGAGTGAGACGCTATCTCAATAAAATCAATAAGTAAATAATAAAAATAAAAAAAGGAAGAAAAAACTTTTTCTTAGTAGGTCATTAACTCCTCACATCATGTTCTACAATCTCCCTTCTTGCAGACCACAGAGCCCCTTTCCTGTGGAGTTGGGTAGGTGGATTGAAAGCAGGGCAGCCCTGAGACACCTGTGTAGTTGGGTTGTAGAAGCCTTCCCAGCACCTTGTGATGACTTACAGGTGCCTCACTTTTCTCTTGCCCCAAATTTAAAACACCCAATCTCATTGCAGGTCCATGCATCTCTTCCTCCTTCTTGCTCTCCAACACACACCCACACACCCCACAGGGTCACCCTGCAGGCGTCCCCAGCACACAGCACAGCTCACTTGCTCGCTCCTGCGTGGTCGCTCCTGGATTCCATGCAGTAATCACTGGGGCTTCTTGGGCACCGGGAGCCTTTCATGGTTTAAATTTCCAGGGTTCTCTAAGTCAGCCTATGCCAGCGTTTCTCTGTGTCCTGCAAAGATTTCTTTTTGGCCCCTGGATTCTTTACTTCCTTTGAGAGAGGAGTGTCAGCTCCAAAACTGGTTCCAAAGACTTGGGCTGTGGGGCAACTGAGCTGTGGCCAGCAGCAGGAGGATCAAACTCTGACAGCTGCGCTCTTGGGGGAATCCTTTATGCGTCAGCAGTGGGTGGAGCCAGGGGATTTGTCAGCAGAAACTGATGTGATTGGCAGTTCCTGGTATGACAATGGGAGGGGCCTGCAAGAAGGGTTTGGGCATAACTCAATTAATAGATAATCAGTCTACAGAATCTGCCTAATCTCATCAGCAGCCAATTGTTTCCTGTCCCCCTCCCATCCTCTAGGTCTTGCCTAATAATGATAGACCCTTTCTGTAATGCCCAATTCATGCATCACTGAAATAGATTTGATGTGTGCCTTTTATATTTTCATGGAATAAAAATATGTTAATTTTCACAGTGGATATCCTGGGGAATGTTATGTTTATGAAATGACATTTCAAGGGAACCGAAGCAGAAGGAAATTCAGAAGCATCTCCTGAGAGTCTCTGGTTGAATTCCTACCATGTTTTCTAAATAATCTGGCTTCTTTCTTGCTATCTAATTAGGAAGGTGCTTTAGAAGTTCAACCTCAGAGCATTTGACAAATACTGCATAGAATTTCAGGATGACCTGAAGGAAATTTTGACTGGATTTGTGAATCTGTCTATGAAAGTGTGTGCGTGAGGTGGGGAGTATAGCCAGAGTGAAGTGGTGGTTCCTTGGGTGTGGACTCTTTGTCTTGAGAAAGTTCACTGTGTTAACTCATTGTGGGTTTTGTGGACATTTTCTTTCTTTCTTTATTTTTTTGAGACAGAGTTTTGCCCTGTCACCCAGACTGGAGGGCACTGGTGCAATCTCAGTTCACTGCAACCTCAGCCTCCCAGGTTCAAGTGATTCTCCTGCCTCAGCCTCCCAAGTAGCTGAGACTACAGGCACCTGCCACCATGCCTGGATAATTTTTTTGTATTTTTAGTAGAGACGGTTTCACCATGATGGCCATTCTGGTGTTGAACTGTTGACCTCAAGTGATCCACCTGCCTTGGCCTCCATAAGTGCTGGGATTATAGGTGTGAGGCACCACACTCAGCCCATGGGCGTTTTCTGATAGTTACACTATGACATCCACTATATATAACCATGTTTAAAGAACGTCTCTTATTACAGTCCGTATTTTTTTCTACTTACCTTCTCCATCTTCTCTGCTCCTATTTCTGCCCAATAAATCTCTTCAAAATGCAAACCTAATCAGTGCACCTTTCCCCTCGAAAGATTTCATTTCTGTGTCTAATCAGTATTTATTGAAAAGGATATGGTCTATGCCATTCACTCTTTTAAAAAATCTTTTTAATTAATTAATTAATTTATTTATTTAAGACTGAGTCTTACTCTGTCACCCAGGCTGGAGTTCAGTGGCATGATCTTGGCTCACTGCAACCTCCGCTTCCTGGTTCAAAGGATTCTCCTGATATAGCTGGGTTACAGGCATGCACCACCATGCCAACTAATTCTTCTATAATATATATATATATATATATATATATATATATATATATTTTTTTTTTAGCAGTGACAAAGTTTCACTCTGTTGGCCAGGCTGTTCTCAAAATCCTGGCTTCAGGTCATCTGTCCACCTCGGTCTCCCAAAATGCTGGGATTACAGATGTGAGCCACTGTGCCTGGCACCATTCACTCTTGTACTACTGTAAGTTTTCATACTATTTTCTGTCATTCTCCATCATGCTTGAAATGAAAGGGAGTGTCTTTAGGGAAGCATTCCTAGTGAACATCCTAGGATAAATAAAGCAGGTAAGAAAGGGAATGATCGATAAATGAATAAACAAAAAGTCACTGTTCATGTTTAATTTAAATTCTTTGTAGAAAGGAAGAGATATTAGGAAGCAGAATGAATTACAGAGTACGAGATACGCTAGAAGAAAGCACTTGATGTGTTCATTCTTCTTCTGAGAACACTTCTATCCCAAGTTCTCTCTCCTCTCCTCTAAGATCGCACTTGTCTCTTTAACTATTTCAAATGTTCCAATGTTGTCCACTCAGTGTTGGTTGGGATATTGACTCTTGATCTGTCTATTTGCTGATTCATCTAGTCTTTGGTTAGATTTTCATCTCTGTTAAAATTTCTTTTGTTTTCTTTCCTTTTTTTTTTTTTTTTGAGACAGTCTTGCTCTGTCACCAAGGTTGGAGTGCAGTGGCACGATCTCAGCTCACTGCAACCTTCATCTCCTGGGTTCAAGCGATTCTCCTGCCTCAGCCTCCCAAGTAGCTGTGACTACAAGTGCACCCCACAAAGTCTGGCTCATCTTTGTATTTTTAGTAAAGATAGGGTTTCTCCATGTTGACCAGGCAGTGAGCTGAGATCACACCACTGCATTCCAGCCTCGGTCATAGAGTGAGACCCTGTCTCGAAAGAAAGAAAGAAAGTGAGAGAGAGAGAGAGAGAGAGAAAGAAAGAAAGGAAGGAAGAAAGAAAGAAAGAAAGAGAAAGAGAATGGAATGAAAGAAAGAAAAGAAAGAAAGAAAGAGAAAGAAAAGAAACACATCGGCCACCATGTAGCTAAACCTTGCAAACATTATACAAAATGAAAGAAGGCTGACACAGTAGGTAGCATGTAGTATAAATTAATTTATATAAAATATCTAGAATAGTTAAATCAATAGAAAGCAGATGAAGATGGCTGGGTGCCTTGGTTCATGCCTCCCAGCACTTTGAGAGACAGAGGTGGGTGGATCACCTGAGGTCAGAGGTTTGAGACAAGCCTGGCCTACATGGTGAAGCCTTGTCTCTCTTAAAAATAACAAATACAAAAATTAGCTGGGCATGGTGGCACATGCCTGTACTCCTGCTACTCAGAAATCTCAAGATAATCACTTGAACTGGGATTTGGAAGTTGCAGTGAGGCATGATGGCGCCATTGTACTCCAGCCTGGGCAACAAAGCCGGACTCTGTCTCAAAAAAAAAAAAAAAAAAGAAAAGAAAAGAAAGAAAGAGAAAAAGCAGATCGATGATCTTGGAGGTGGAGATGGGAATTGGGGTTGATTACTTAATGGGTAAGGCGTCTGATTTTGGGATGGCAGAAATGGAACTAGAGCGAGGTGACAGCTGCATCACTTCATGAATGTACCAAATGCTGCTGACTGGTTCACTGTAAAATAGTTAATTTTTTGTAATGTCAATTCCACCTTGACACAAAAAATTATTCTCAAGTTTGATATTAGAAAAAGAAAACTTAGAGCAAAATCAATAACACAAAGCAGTAAATTGATGGAAGAATACTTGTTTTTAGAACCAGTTCTGTCCTGAAAACCTAGTGTGTGATAAAGATAGAATCTGAGGGCTGGGCGCGGGGGTTCACGCTTTTTCTTTTCTTTTTTTTTTTTTTTTTGACAGAGTCTCACTCTGTTGCTTAGGCTGGAGTGCAATGGCATGATCTCAGCTCACTGTAACCTCTACCTCCCAAGTTCAATAGATTCTCCTGCCTCAAACTCCCAAATAGCTGGGATTAGAGGTGCCCACCACCGCACCCAGCTAATTTTCATACTTTTAGTAGAGATGGGGTTTCACCATGTTGGTCAGGCTGGTCTCAAACTCCTGACCTCAGGTGATCCTCCCACGTTGGCCTCCCAAAGTGCTGGAATTACAGACATGAGCCACCATGCCCAGCCTCTGAATAGATATTTTTCAGAAGACATATGAATGGCAAACAGGTGTATGAAAAGTTCTCAACATCATTGATCATCAGAGAAATGCAAATCAAAACTATGATGAGATATCATCTTACCCCAGTTAAAATAGCTCACATCCAAAAGACAGGCAACAGCTCATGCTAGTGAGGATGTGGAGAAAAGGAAGCGCTTGTTCATTGTGGTGGAAATGTCAGTCCAACCACTATGGAGAGCAGTAAGGGCCACAGAGTGAGACCCTGTCTCTAAAAAGAAACTTTAAAAACAGGCCTGGTGCAGTGGCTCACACATGTAATACCAGCACTTTGGGAGGCCCTGGTGGGCTGCTCGCCTGAGCTCAGGAGTTCAAGACCAGCCTGGGCAACTTGGTGAAACTCCGTCTCAGTTAAAAACACAAAACTTTGGGCATGGTGGAGCACATCTGTAATCCCAGCTACCTGGGTGGCTGAGGCACGAGAATCACTGGAGCCTAGGTCATGGAAGTTGCAGAGAGTCAAGATCATACCACTGCACTCCAGACTGGGGGCAGTGTCTCAAAAAGCGACCGTGTCTCAAAAAAAATATTGGTGAATAGAAGAATAATTGAATAACTGCCTCAGACATTTATACAGTTCTCATCTCATTCTGGGCACACAGAAGACTGTGTTGGCCTCATCTCCTTGATTTTTAAAATGAACATTCTAAAATCAAGACTAGATGTATCACTTCTAGGCCAAATCACGAAAAGAAATGTGTAAGGGCTTCGTGTGTTCTTCATCTCTGTGATCGGAATTGTAGAAGGCATGAGCTTTAGATGATGCATCACCAAGACGGCGGTGATTCCATTATCCTTACCCCTGTAACTTGTGAGCATCCTTACCACCAGTAATCATGATTAGATATTAAATCTGAGATAGGAGTTAATACTTACCACATTGATATTTTGGGCTTGGAGTGGTGGCTCATGCCTGTAATCCCAGTGCTGCCTATGAAAGTGTGTGTGTAGGGGGGAGGAGGTAGCCAGGATGGAGTGGCTGTTCCTTGGGTGTGGACCCTTCTTTGACTGGAGAAAGTTCATTGCTGTTAACTGATGGTGAGTTTTGTGGGCATTTTCTTTTTTGTTCTTCTTCTTTTTTTCTTTTTTAGACAGAGTCTTGCTTTGTCACCCAGACTGAGCAAAAAAAACGATCAATCAATCAGTTGAACAAACCAAAAACCCACTGTAGTCTGCAGCTCAACATTGGATTTGTGACCTACATCTCTACTCTTGGGTCAATTGTTGTTGATGAATTCTTATGACTGTGCAGAGTTCCAGTGGTTGCAGATGCCACAGTTTTCATCCCGCTTGATGGGCATTTGGTTTATTGGCAGGATGCAGTGTTGCTGTCTTCTCCATGTAGGCCAAACTAATGTGTGTATAAGACTATCTCATGGTGATTTGTATTAGCATTGCCCTGAAGCTAGAAAAATTAAATTGAATTAAATAAATTTTTTCTCATTTTTGCTATTTATTCCATTTGTGGCATGCCCTGTTCAAGTTTTCTACCCATTTTTATCTGCTGTATCTTTAATAATTTGACAAAAGTTGTATACATTCTGGTTTGATGTACCGTTGTTTTTTTAAATTTGAGACAGACTCTTGCTCTGTCACCGAGGTGGGAGAGCAGGGGAGTGACCCTGGCTCACTACAGTCTCCATCTCCTAGGTTCAAACAATTCTCCTACTGGTCTCGAACTCCTGATGTCAAGTGATCTGGAGTAGCCTTCTGAGCAGCTGGGATTACAAGTGCCTGCCAGCATATCCAGCTACTTTTTGCATTTTTAGTAGAGACTGGGTTTCACCACATTGGCCAGCTGCCCCTCGCCCCCAACACACGTTCACAGGCAGTTCACAAATCCAGTCAAAATTCCCTTCAGGTCATCCTGAAATTCTAAGCAGTATTAGTCCTACGCTCTAAGGTCGAACTTCTAAAGCAGCTTCCTACTTGGATAGCAAGAAAGAAGCCGAAAACATGGCAGGAATTCAACCAGAGATGCTTGTGAATTTCCTTCTGCTTCTGTTCCCTTGAAACTTCAATTCATAAACGTAACATTCCCCAGGATATCCACCGTGAAGATTAACATATTTTCATTGCATGAAAATATAAAAGGCACACATCAAAACTGTTTCAGTGATGGATGAACTGGGCATTACAGAAAGTGTCCCTCATTATTAGGCAAAACCTAGAGGATGGGGGTCGGGGGGCAGGAAGCAGGTTGGCTGTCGATGGGATACAGCAGATTCTGTAGGCTGATATTCTGTTGATTGAGTTATGCCTGTAGACTGATAATCTATTAATTGAGTTATGTCCAAACCCTCCTTGCAGGCCCCTCCCATTGTCATACCGGGAAGAGCCAATCACATCAGGTTCTGCTGACAAATCCCCTGGCTCCACCCCCTGCTGACAGTATAAAGGGTCTCCCCAAGAGCTCAGTTGTCAGAGCCTGATCCACCTGCTCTGTTGCTCCACAGCCCAAGTCTGTTGAATCAGCTTTGGAGCCGACACTCCACTCTCAAAGGAAGTAAAGAATCCAGGGGCCAAAAGGAAATCTTTGCGGGACACAGAAAAACACTGGCACTGGCTGACTTGGAGAATCCTGGAAATTCAAACCATGAAAGGTTCCCGGCGCCCAAGAAGCCCCAGTGATTCCTGCACAGTATCCAGGAGCGACCACGCAGGAGCGAGCAGGTGCTGTGTGCTGTGTGCTGGGGACGCCTGCAGGGTGACCCGCCTGTGGAGTGTGTGGGTGTGTGTTGGAGAGTGGGGTAGGAGGAGGAGATACATGAACCTGCAATGACATTGGGTGTTTTAAATTTGGGGCAAGAGGGAAGTGAGGCACCTGTAAGTCATCACAAGGTGCTGGGAAGGCTTCTACAACCCAACTACACACATGTCTGAGGGCTGCCCCACTTCCAATCCACCCACCCAGCTCCACAGGAAAGGGGCTCTGTGGTCTGCAAGAAGGGAGCTTGTAGGACATGATGTGAGGAGTTAATGAACTACTAAGAAAAACATTCTTTTCTTCCTAATTTTTTATTATTTACTAATTGATTTTATTGAGATAGCGTCTCACTCTGATTGTCTAGATTGGAGTGCAGTGGCATGATTTTGGCTGACTGCAGGCTCCACCTCCGAGTCTCGGGTGGTCCTCCTGCCAGGGCCTCCTGAGTAGCTGGGACCAGAGGCGTGCACCACCATGCTCCCCTAATGTTTTCTATTTTTAGTAGAGACTAGGTTTCACCACGTTGCCCAGGCTGCTCTAAAACTTTTGGCCTCAAGCAATCCTCCTACCTTGGTGTCCCAAATTGTTGGAAATATTGGTATTAACCACCACGCCTGACAAATTTCTTCCCTTTATTTTATTTATTTTTTTTTTGAGATGAAGTCTCACTCTGTTGCCAGGCTGAAGTGCAGTGGCGCCAGATTGGCTCACTGCAATCGCCACCTCCCGGGTGCCAGCAATTCTCCTGCCTCAGCCTCCCAAGTAGCTGGGATTACAGGTGTTTTTAATTTGTATTTTTAGTAGAGAGGAGGTTTCACCATGTTGGCCCCAATCCTGACCTGGGGATCCACCTGCCCAGGCCTCCCAAAGTGCTGGGATTACAGGCGTGAGCCAGCATGCCCGGACTTTTTGTTTTTTTGCTTTTATTTGCATCCTAAGACCCATTCCTACATTACCTGTATAGACAGAGGTGTCACATTTCTGGCATCTCACCATCTTTCTCCAGGTCCTCACACCCAAGGAGAGGTTTCCAATTCTCACCTTCATGTGCTCCTTAAAGAGTCCACTGCTCCCTGTGGGCACAGACCCTCCTCCCCTGCCTTTTCCTAACCCAGGGAAGCTCAGGAGGTAGACGGGGATGAGAACAAGAACAGCTGGGAGTCAGGACAGATTGGGAGCAGGTGTCACAGGAAGTGGATGAGTCTGTGACCTTGAATGCAAGGCAGGGAGGTGGAGTGAGTTTGTGGGGATTCGGGGAATTGGATGGTAGGTCACTGTGCCCGAGATCTAACTGTGTCTCTCTGTCCTGCAGCTCCTCCAGCACACAATCAAATGCCCCCAAACGCCAGAAAGTGGAGGAGCTGGATCCTCAGCCAGGTGAGGCATCTTCTCTTCTTCGTCCCAAATCCCGGTGTCCCATCTCATCATGAGAGGAGCAGGTGTGCTCTCCAGGGTGTCTCGAGCCTCCTCCTGCAGCCCTATGGGCAGGTGTCCTGTACCTGGTTTCTTCTGCATTTGGTCTTTCTCACAGTGGCACCTTTAACCCCCAAGGGCATCCTGCATGACCAGGGCTCTCTCACCTGCACATTCTGCTCTCTCCACAGGTGCAGAACCAGCTCCAGTGCAGCCAGGTCCCCATCACCCTGCACAGCTGCCCCTGGAACCGCTCCAGGTAAGGTCACACTGTGTGGGTGGGCGTGGGTGAGACAGCTCTGCCTGAGCTCTAGGCCCTAGGAGACTTCCAGGAAATGACTGTCCCAACGGGTGTCAATACAAGTGCAAATTCTGGGTGTCCCTGGAGAGTTTAGTTGGTGGCTGGGGAAGTTGTAGGCAGCTCCCTGCCTTGGTCTGCCCCTGTCTGAGCCTCCCTGAGAGGACAATGAATGACCCATGGCGTTTCTTTCCCAGGGCCCACAGCTTCCCCAGAGGAAGGTGATCATCGTGGTCTTGGAACCAGGAATAGTCCTGCGCCTGAGCCTCGGAGAGGAGGTCCTGGTGCTGGACCCAGAGGGAGCCCTGCAATTCAGCCTCCTCAATGTGCTCCTCCTGGTGGTCCCTGAGCAAGCCTTGGTGTCCTTGAAGGTTCTCTCGTACCTCGCCCAGGCCCGCTGGCTCCTGCTTGGGAGTGCAGAGACTGTCTGGCAGATTGACATTGAAAATGCATCTGTGAGAGTCGAGAGAGCAGAGTATGAGTGTGCCGCGCCTTCAGTAGAAGAGGGTGAGGCTCCTCAAGGCTACCTGCCCACGATGGGACCCCCATCAAACCTCGTGCATGGAATCAGCCCTCCTTCCCGGCACATCCTCTACCTCAAACCTTACTATGGAGCGCCTGTCCCCCAGGGCTCATCCCAGATGCCCAAGCCTGGTCCCTTGAGACGGGCTCTGCTTGAAGAACTCCAGTTGGATCTCCATGTCCTGGAGTTCTCACCCAGTCAAGGGCCCAGAATCTACCATGGGGTTCTACGGAGGCCCAAGTGCACGGCCCGAAGACGTCTCTTCTAAGGCTGATGGGCCAGGAACCCTCAGGCCCCAGACAGGAATCCGAGAAGTTCTATTCAGAATCAAGCACACCTGCTTTTTCATGGTTTCCCTGCACCTTGGAGGAGAGAGACGCTGCACAGAAATGCGTTGTCTTTTACCCTGAAACTCTGTTCTGCTTAGATGCTCTTGATTTGTATAAAAGAACAACCTTGAGATTGGGGAAGAAACTATTTGCAAATCTCGTACACATGCATGGACTACTCATACTCAGAGTACAAAAGGAATTGTCAAAACTCCAATAGAACAAATGTTTCTGTTCAAAAGCCAGCACAATGAATGAACAGACATTTCCTCCAAGGGGATGTAAAAGACCCACTTCAAAAAGTGTTCAACATCCCTCCCCTGGGGAAATGTGCATCGAATATGCCTTGAAATCCAACCAAGAAGCTCGTAGAGAAGCCGCCGTGACCATGACTGCCCATCCCAAGGGCTGCAGAACATGTGGAGAAGCTGGAACACTCTGATGGTGCTGGCTGGAATCCGAATGGGACCACCGTCAGGGCTGAAACAGTTTTACTGATTCATAATCAATGAAATAGGCACTTAGCATTGGAACCATCTTTCCCACCTTGAGATGGTTGTTCTAAAGAAATTAGAGCTCACCTTGCCAAAGTGAGGGCAGAGGTTTCTAGCGTCTGTCTCCACCATCACCAGAAGATGGAAGGGACTTTAAAGTCATTCAGCAGTGGATAGAAACAGGAACAGTGACCCAGTCTTTCAATGGGGTGCAATTCAGCAATAAATGGGATGGGATTTTTGTTTGTAAATTTAGTTTTGGGTAGCGAGTAAGTTGTTGGAACACTTGAAGGCATGTATGGACTCTTAGGCTATGTGAAACTTATCCTGAGATTGTAACTCTCACGAAATTGACATGCACGTCAAGCACGTGTGATCAAAATTCAGTTTCCAATTGAGGTTTGTTGTACCGGTAAAACACATACAAGATTGTGTAGCTGAGAATGCAGTATGGTAGCACTGGGCTACAAAAACATTGTAGCATTGTAGCAATGAAGCACTGTATCTCATTCATCGTTGGGATGTAGATTGTATTGCTGTTGTTTATATCTGCATTACTTAGGTTAAATAAAAATGTTAAAAGTGATTTTTACCTATTTGCGTTTATATTCTCTACTGTGTTTGCTCAAAAATTTCCATTTCTGGCTGGGAACGGTAGCTCACACCTGTAATCACAGCACTTTGGGAGATCAAGGCAGGTGGATCACCTGAGTCCAGGAATTGGAAACCAGCCTAGGAAGCATGCTGAAATCCCATCTCTAGAAAAAATGCAAAAATTAGGCAGGCAGTGGGATCTCCCCACTGGAGAGGCTGAGGTGGGAGGATGACTAGAGTCCAGGAGGCAGAGGTTGCTGTGATCTGAGATTGTGCCATTGCACTCCAGCCAGAGCTGACAGAGTGAGACTCTGTCTACAAATAACAATGGTAATAAAATAAAACTCTGTTTCTACAGAACATTGTTTTATTTCTATTGGGTACAAGGCATAGATGGCAGAGCCCACAGTAAGTGGACAGAGATAAAATTCATCAAGGCAAAAGTGTATCCCCCCACACCACAGACAACAGCACACACATACACACACACACAAAATCACAAAACACATTTACGAATCGATTTATACCCCCACCACAGGTCATCTTCAAGTTTCCATCAGTGTTTCCCAAATGCCTGAGTTTGTACTTCCAAAGAGTCTTGTGAATAGACCCCCAGAAGTGGCTTGTTGGGCAATTCTGTAGGAATCGTAATTAGAAACTCTCTGACAACATCCTGTATATTTTCCTTTACTTCCATTTTTTTTTTTTTGAGATAAAGTCTTATTCTGTCATCCAGGGTGGAGTGCATCGGCATCATCTCAGTTCAGTGCAACCTCTGCCTCCCGGGTTCAAGCAATTCTCCTGACTCAGCCTCCTGAGTAGCTGGGACTACAGGTACATACCACCACGCCCGGTTAATTTTTATATCTTTAGTACAGTTGGGGTTTCACCACATTGGTCAGCTGGTCTTGAACTCCTGACCTCAGTGATCTGCCCACCTTGGCCTCCCAGAGTGCTGGGATTACAGGCATGTGCCACCATGCCCAGCCTACTTCTATTTTTTAGGAATTCAAACAAATTATGAATAAAAATCCCCAAAACAGTCAGTATAAAAGTCATTTTTCTTTTTACTGTGGAAACATTTATAAGCACATAAAAAATAGTCATTTCAACCAATGGATAAAGAGGCTATAGCAGGAAGTGAGAATCACTCTTATGCCCTGTCTCCTGGAATGGTGGTGGTGGTGGTTGGGGGAGGGCAGGGCTCTCCTCCCCAACCAGGAAGCACCAAGATTAGCAGATCCAGTGGTCAAGAAACAGTATTCTTTACTGCTATATTTATTCATTCACTAACATGCAATTTCTAACATTACAGCTCATCCAACACAACTATTCATTAAGACATAGTTAAGGAAGGAATGCACTAAAAGTGATTAGAAATACTAACATTGCTTTTCACACTTTTTTTTTTTTTTTTTTTTTTTTAAGAACAGACATTTGTTTATCACAGTTCTAGAGGCTGGAAGTCCAAGGTAAGGATGCCAGCACGATGAGGGACTGGTGAGGACCCTCTTCCAGGTTGGAGACTGTCATATCCTCTCTGTATCCTCACATGGAAGGGGCTGTCGAGCTCTCTTCTGTCACTCTCAGAAGGGCACTAATCCCAACTATGAGAGCTCCACCTTCCTAACCTCATCATCTCCCAAAGGCCCCACCTCCTAATAGCTTCACATTGGAGGTCTGAGGGTTAGAATTTAAGCCTAAAGGAAAAAACGTTTGCTTTCTGAGACAGTCTTGCTCTGTTGCCAGGCTTAAGTTCAGTGACAACGTCTCAGCTCACTGCAGCCTTGACATCCCAGGCTCGAGTGATCCTCCCACCACACCCTCCCAAACGGCTGAGACTACAGGCACTTACAACCATACTTAGCTGATTTTTAAATTTTTTGTAGAGATGGGGTCTTGCTATGTTGCCCTGGCTGGTCTCAAACTCCTGGGCTCAAACGATTCTTCCACGTCAGCCTCTCAAAGCACTGGAATTACAGGCATGAGGCGTTACTCTCAGCCCACGATATTATTTCCTGTCTTGGATTTCCTATCTAATAATGATTACTGGTGGTAAGGATGCTCACAAGTTACAAGAGTAAGGATAATGGAATCACCACCACCTTGGTGATGCACCATCTAAAACCCATGCCTTCTTCAATTCCAATCACAGAGACGAGCACAGGAAGCTTTTGCACATTTTCTTTCATGATTTGGCCTAGAAGTGATACATCTAGTCTTGATTTTAGAATGTCCATTTTAAAAATCAAGGACATGAGGCCAACGCAGTCTTCTGTGTGCCCAGAATGAGATGAGAACTGTATAAATGTCTGACGCAGTTATTCAATTATTCTTCAATTCACCATTTTTTTTTTTTTTTTTTTTTGAGACACAGTCTCACCCTGGCGCCCAGGCTGGAGTGCAGTGGTGCGATCTTGACTCTCTGCAATCTTTGCATCCTAGGCTCAAGTGATTCTCTTGCCTCAGCCAGTTGTGCCCCACCACACCAGCTAAGTTTTGTATTTTTAGTAGAAACAGGGTTTCGCTAAGTTGCCCAGGCTGGTTTTGAACTCCTGAGCTCAGGCAATCTGCCTGGGCCTCCCAAAATGCTGGAATTACAGGTGTGAACTAGTGAGCCAGGCCTGTTTTTTTACTTTTTCTTTTTAGAGACGAGGTCTCACTCTGTGGCCCTTACTGCTCTCCATAGTGGTTGGACTGACATGCCCACCAACAGTGAACAAGTGCTCCCTCTCTTCCACATCCTCGCCAGTATGTGTTATTGCCTGCCTTTTGGATGTGAGCTATTTTAACTGGGGTAAGGTGATATCTCATCATAGTTTTGATTTGCATTTCTCTGATGATCAATGATGTTGAGAACTTTTCATACACCTGTTTGCTAGTTGTATGTCTTCTGAAAAATGTCTGTTCAGAAGCTGGGCTTGGTGGCTCATGTCTGTAATCCCAGCACTTTGGGAGTCTGAATTGGGTAGCTCACCTGAGGTCAGGAGTTTGAGATCAACCTAGCCAAAATGGAGAAACCCCATCTCTACTAAAACTACACAGATTAGCTGGTTGAGTTGGTAGGCACCTATAATCCCAGCTACTTGGGAGGCTGAGGCAGGAGAATCGCTTGAACCTGGGAGGTGGATGTTGCGGTGAGTTGAGATCGTTCCATTGCACTCCAACCTGGGTGACAGAGTGAGACTCTGTCTCAAAAAAAAAAAAAAATAAATAAAGTCTGTTCAGGACTTTGCCCATTTTTAAAATCAGATTATTAGACTTTGTCTTATTGGGCCAAGTGAAGTGTCTTATACCTGTGATCCCAGCACTCTGAGGGACTGAGGTGGGCGGTTTACCTGAGGTTAGGAGTTCAAGATGAGCCTAGCCAACATTTTGAAACCCTGTCTCTACTAAAAATACACAAATTAGCTGGGCGTGATGGTGGGCGCCTGTAGTCCTGGGCGGTGGAAGTTGTGGTAAGCGCAGATTGTGCCACTGCACTCCAGCCTGGGCAACAGTCTCAGAAAAAAAAATAAAAGATTTTGTCCTGTTGAGTTGTCTCAGCTCCTTCTGTATTTTGAATTAATTTCTATATTTTACTGATCACCTGATAGACAGTGTAAATGTAGATATTTTGATTAAATATTTAAGTTGCACATGGCTTAGTTTCTATTTTCTTCTCACTTCCTTAGAGTTTTGTTAGCTTTATAATGCTTACATATTAGCTTGATAATATATTAGTATTTTTAATATAGTTTTCCTAAATTCAAAAGTTAGTTGAGCAAAATTCTTTTACACATGTATAATCTATTGTCCACAAGCCTCTTATTAAATCATCATTGTTGAACTGTTTTGAAATTCTATCTTAATCACACACGAGGTTTTCAGGACAGAACTCGTTCTAAAAGCAAATGTTCTTCCATCAATTTATTGCTTTGTGTTATTGCTTTTGCTCTAAGTTTTCTAATATCATACTTGAGAATAATTTTTTTGTATCAAGGTAGAATTCACATAACAAAAAATTGACTATTTTTTTTTTTTTTGAGTGGAGTTTTGCTCTTGTCTCCCAGGCTGGAGCGCAGTGGCACCATCTCGGCTCACTGCAACCCCCGCCTCCCTGGTTCAAGTGATTCTTCTGCCTCAGCCTCCTGAGTGGCTGGGATTATAAGTGCATGGCCACCACACTGGCTAAGTTTTTGTACTTTTATTATAGATGGTGTTTTGCCATGTTGGCCAGGCTGGTCTCGAACTCCAGACCTCAGGTGATCCATCCGCCTTGGCCTCACAAAGTGCTGTGATTACAGGTGTGAGCCACTGCACCCGGCCAAAATTAACTATTTTAAAGTGAACAAATCAGCGGCATTTGGTACATTCATGAAGTGATGCACCTATCACTTCTCTCTGGTTCAAAGTCATTTTTGCTATCCCAAAATCAGACTCCTTACTCATTAAGTAATCAACTCCAACTCCCCTCTCCACCCACCTCCAAGATCATGCAGCCATCAATCTGCTTTCTTTTTCTCTTTTTCTTTCTTTTCTTTCCTTCTCTTTTCCTCCCTCCCTCCCTTCCTCTTTTCCTTCCTTCTTTTCTTTCTTGACAGAGTCTTGCTCTGTCACCCAGGCTGGAGTTCAATGGCTCAATGTTGGCTCACTGTAGCTTCTGCCTCCCAGTTCAAGTGATTTTTTTGATTCCTGAGTAGCTAGGAGTACAGGTATGCGTTACCATGCCCAACTAATTTTTGTATTTTTTATTCTTAGGATAGACAAGTTTTCACTATGTTGTTCAGGTTGGTCTCAAACCCCTGACCTCAGATGATCTGCCCATCTCTGTCTCCCAAAGTGCTGGGAGGTGTGAACCAAGACACCTGGCCATCATTAATCTGATTTCTCTTTCTATGGATTTAATTATTCTAGATATTTTAAATAAATGAATTGATACCACATGCTACCTACTATGTCAGCCTTCTTTCATTTAGTATGTTTTCAAGGTTCATCTACACGGTAGCAGATACTTTTTTTTTTTTTTTTTTGTTTTGAGATAGGGTCTCACTCTATCACCCTGGCTGGAATGCAGTGTTTTTTGTTGTTGTTGTTTTGGTTTTTTGA